CTGACATCAAACCAGTCATCCAACTGGATGTTGGCGTCTATTTGTCGCAAAACGTTGCCATTGTTTGGCTCTTCCCAACATACCAAATTGACTTGAGAATAATATTTTAATAAGCTTTCAAAAATAAGCCTTAAGCTTGAGAAAATCTTGAGAATGTATTGAGAAATGCTTGTTTAACAATTATAGAATAATCGAAAGGGAACCCTTATTCATAAGCTTATTCTTGTAATTGCAGAATAAGCTTACGAAAGTAATATTATATCAAGCTTATTTTTTCAATGGTATAAAATATTTATTTTTTAATTATTTTACACATTTCATTCATTGATCGCCATCCCAGCTGTCGCTGCCTCCTGTTGCATTGATACTTAGATGATTTCTTTCCCCTTATTTGAGCTTGACGCTTCTATTCTGAAATGAGATTGAAATAATATACACTACAGATTCCCAGATTTATTATTCATCATTACCTTAGAGTTTCGTCCAGAAATGGGTCTTAAATTCGCGTGATTTTGATTTTAACCAAAGAAAATATTTTTTTTGTCGACAATTTTCACAAAAAAAAATCAAAACAAATTTGTCAACAAAGGACAGATTTGAGAAAAGTTTGTGCAAAAAAGTTTTTCTCTAGCATTGTTGAGGAATTCTTACGATAAACTATTTTCATAATATTATTCTCAAGCTGTATTGTATTTTTGGTATGTTGGGTTGGCTTAGAAGGGTCGGTGTTGTATTTATGTGTGTTTGTTTCTATTTTTTCTCTCGCTTGTATTGTCAGCTGTTGTTGTTGGTGGCGGTATTGGGGGAAGGACAACAGTTAGGTTCGTGAACATATGGCTGGCTGCTGGCTTGTGTCTCTCACTGCCAGAGCAGAAAACGAAGTGGAACATTAAATATTTCAATCCGTCATATAGTCAACCGGTCGGCACGACTGTCTCCCAACCAACCAGCCAGTCATCGAAACGAGTTAGTCTGTCTGTAGATGTGGCCGTATGTTTGCCTCTCTAACTGACTTTGAACTGGAATTGATGGCTGAAATTAGATTTGGTTGCCTGTGTTGTTGGTAGTCTAGGCTGACTACTTAGGCTGGGTGGCGGGTTGGCTGTTTGGTGGGATGACTGACTGTTGCTTTGCCAGGCTTAGATGCGATGATGGTGTTGATGTCGACGACGATGAGGACGAGGACGAGGACGAGGATGATGACGACTATGACGCCTGGTTTTATGCAAACAAAGTATTTGTGTGCCAAAGTGAATGTGGTTGGGTGTGTGTGTGTGTGTGTGTGTCGATGTTGTTGTGGGGGTTTTCTAAACACAAAACAGGGAAAATACCAACAAATATATAATTGTGTGTATGTGCGTCTGTGCGTTTGTAGGCCTCTGTGTTTGGATGAATAACAATTGACTGCCTCTTTGCTTGGCGGCACATGGCAAGTTTAAATAAATATCTCTTCCCCCGCCTGCCTACCTGCCTGCCCCCCTCCTTTGGATGAATGCTGTGTGCGCCACACCTTCTATCAATTTTATGGGCTATCATCTCCTGCCTCTTTCCCGTCCCCCACCCCACCTCACCTATTTGTATTTATTTTTCTACGTCGTCTTTGTTGTGTGTGTGTGTGTTTTTTTTTTGTTTTGCTTATTTCTTGTTAATAAAATGTTGCATGCAGATTTTTCTTTTACGAACTTTAGCTGGAATTTTTTGTGTTGTTGTTGCTATGGTTTTTGTGTTCCCAGAAGAAGGAAGATGGAGTGTGTGTTCTGGTGTAAGTGGTTTTTCCTCTTTAAAATCATTTGGCATTGCAAAAAATGGATTTTGGTTGAACCGGGAGACCAGAGGGAATACCTTATGTTTGGTTACTGTTTTTTGGTTGCATTCTTTGGGAAATATTTTTAGAGTTGATTTTTCTCGTTGTTATTGTAGCAACCAAAACATAGGATAGGATAGGATAATTTGTAAGGCTGTGGTTCATCTCTTTCGGAATTTAAAAAGGTAGAATATAGATTGTCTTTTTTCTAAAAAAATCATTTTGAAGATAAATTTGAAGATTTGGGTGGGATTTTGCGGAGAGGTAGGAACTTATGTGGTCGAAGTTAAAAATACTCAAACCTTATACAGATATTGACAGTTTATCGTAGGGTAGAATTTCATTCTATGTTCCACAAGATGTTGGAGCTGAGGGCATAATGTAAAATATCGAAACTCAGGAGGTATTCAGTGATAGCGCCTAGGTTTTTGTTTTTATTTCAAATACTGGGCCAGTAGTGAACAATTTCTAATAGGTTGACTTATAATCTTTGAGAACCTCAAATTACATTCAGGTCAATATTAACTTAAGGACATATACTGACCATTTTTGTAGCTAGGAGAAATTCTACCCATTCAGAACCTAATTTTTAATTTACAGGATATTGTGGCTAAAACGTCCAAAATAAGGTTCCCTAAACGCAAAAAGTGTAAACAGTTGTAGCCAATTTTTCTTATTAATGACCCGGAATTTTTGAGTAAAGTTTCAAAATATATTCATAATCAAAAATAGGTGACAGATCTTGAAATGTTTCAAACGAAATGGCAAAACAACTTCTTAGTCCTTACAACTCAAAACCCCCTAGATGTCTTTCTTCACAGGCCTTATAAAAATAACCAAAACGTGGTATTTAACACATCACACCCTCGCCAGACTGGCTATTATACCTGGAAATCAGATACGATTTTAGCTGGTCAATTTTATTTTCCCTTATTTTTATTGACCTTTCCAAATCTTGATTCTTTGCATTCATCCAAGACCCAATACCACCCACTATCTTGTGCTGTTACGCTTTCAAACACTTTGTCATGACCACCCAACTATCCCATTCTTGTACATTTTTTGTTATTTATTTAATAATTTCCTTATCTACACTTTCATTGCTATCTTGACACCCACTCTCTTTTTGTGGCTTTATCTAATCAGAAGATTCAAACTAATTTTTTTTTATTCTTGATAATCATGAGATATAATTATTTCAGTGTGAATAATTTTTTATGACACCACCAGATTCGCTGAAGTGCGAAAAAGTTGTCACGGAATCGGTTTATTTAGAAAATAGAAGATTTAAAATATATAACAGACAATAGAAGACCTCTAGGTCCTCTGTGGCCAACAGAAGACCTCAGGGTCCTCTATGGGCTAAAGAAGTCCTCAAGGTTTTCTATGGGCTATAGACGACCTCTATGGGTTGTAGAGAACCGCAAGGTCCTCTATAGGCTTAAGACGACCTCAAGGTCCTCTATGGACTATAGAAGACCTCAAGGTCCTCTATGGTCTATAAAAGATCTTATATAGTAGATAGAAGACCTCAATGTCCTTTATGGACAATAAAAGACCACAAGGTCCTCTATGGGCATAGAAGTCCTCAAGGTCCTTTATGGGCAATAGAAGACCTCTAGTTTTTCTATCTAAATTTGAAGACCTCAAGGTCCCCTATGGACAATAGAAGACCTCAAGGTCCCCTATCTGCAAGAGAAGACCTCAAGGTCCTCTATAGGCACTAGAAGACCTCAAGGTCTTCTAAAGAAAATAGAACACATCAAGGTCTTCTATAGAATATTGAAGACCTCAATGTCTTCTATAGAAAATAGAAGACCTCAAGGTCCTCTATGGGCAATAGAAGACCTCAAGGTCCTCTATGGGGAATAGAAGACCTCAAGGTCTTCTATCGAAAATAGAAGACCTCAAGGTCTTCTATAGAAAATAGAAGACCTCAAGGTCTTCTATAGAAAATAGAAGACCTCAAGGTCTTCTATAGAAAATAGAAGACCTCAAGGTCTTCTATAGCAGATAGAGGTCTTCTATAGAAAATAGAAGACCTCAAGGTCTTCTATAGCAAATAGAAGACCTCAAGGTCTTCTATAGAAAATAGAAGACCTCAAGGTCTTCTATAGAAAATAGAAGACCTCAAGGTCTTTTATAGCAGATAGAAGACCTCAAGGTCTTTTATAGCAGATAGAAGACCTCAAGGTCTTCTATAGCAGATAGAAGACCTCAAGGTCTTCTATAGCAGATAGAAGACCTCAAGCTCTTCTAAAGAAAATAGAAGACCTCAAGCTCTTCTAAAGAAAATAGAAGACCCCAAGCTCTTCTAAAGCAAATAGAAGACCTCAAGCTCTTCTATAGCAGATAGAAGACCTCAAGCTCTTCTATAGCAGATAGAAGACCTCAAGCTCTTCTATAGCAAATATAAGGTCTTCTATGGACAGTAGAAGACCTCAAGGTTAGCTACGGTCAGTAGAACTCCTCAATGTCCTCTATGGACCATAGAAGATGTCACGACCCTTAATGCACAATAGAAGATCTCTGGGGTCAATAGAAGAGACCAAAGTTCTCTATGAATAATAAAAAACCTAAATGGCCTCTATGGACAATAGAAAACCTCAAGGTCCTCTATGGGCTATGGAAGACCTCAAGGTACTCAATGGATAATAGAAGACTTCAAAGTCTTCTATAGCCGATAGAAGACTTCAAGGTCTTCTATAGCCGATAGAAGACCTCAAGGTCTTCTACAGCCGATAGAAGATCTCAAGGTCTTCTACAGCCGATAGAAGATCTCAAGGTCTTCTACAGCCGATAGAAGACCTCAATGTCTTCCATAGCCAATAGAAGACCTCAAGGAGGTGGGTGTAAAATGTTCATACATGGAGGCATTTTGCCGATAGAAGACCTCAAGGTCTTCTTCAGCCGATAGAAGACCTCAATGTCTTCCATAACCGATAGAAGACCTAAAGGTCTTCTACAGCCGATAGAAGACCTCAATGTCTTCCATAGCCAATAGAAGACCTCATGTATGTGATTATAAAATGTTCATTCCGCACGACATGGAGACATTTTGTTCTTTTTTCATTCCGACTCTTTCGTAAAATTTTCTTTTCTTTCTTTCGTTACATAAAATTGATTCTGCTTTAATTTTTGATTTTTAATGCCAATGTTTTTTTTTTTTTCTTCTGGCTTTCAATCTTTTTTCCAGATTACATTTTTGTAACCATGTAAAAAATTCTACCTTTGATGCTCAAGAGAAGAAGAAACACATCCCATTATATCACATAGAAGGAGGAGGAGGTGCTGCTACACGAGGTAAAAGTTTATGTCTATTCAAAGATATTATTTTCAACTTAAGATTTGCCTTCTTGCCGGGGCTTGAGTGTCAACATTGTGAAAGGGGGTTGCAGGGCAGGGAGAGGCTAGGAAAAGAGTCTGCATGCCATTAAAAGGAAATGAATGAATGTTCGTCCCTTTCGTTGTCTGCCAGCTTGTTGTTTTGCCACATTCTTCTTAAAGCTCAAATTAGATATTTGTGAAAGGCCAGGCATGGCAAGGCAAGGCAGCAATCATCATTAGAAGGAACACAGAAAAAAAACCTCAATACAAAGTATATCCTTTGCACATTTATAATACACACACGTACACACATACACTCACACAAATTCACCCACATAAAACCAAAAATAGAGTCGAAAGAAAACAGAAAAAACAAGAGCGAAATGCTTCGGAGGACAGACATTTGCCAGCAAGGACTTGGAACAAGTGTGTTTTTACAACAAATGGAATATACACATGTACATTGAGTGTATTGTGTGTATTGTGTGTATGGGTGTGTGGGGGAATACCACCAACACACTCCCACATAGACAGACACACACACACACACCAACACTTCACCAGTCATTGAGAAAATAAGCCATAGATTTTTGTTACAAAACAAAGCCAACAACATTGCCAGGCCAACAAAAAGAAAAGGTATATTTCATTTGATTAGAAAGGGGAGGGGGAGAGGACGGGAGGGTTGGAAGGGGGGGGGGGGACGTTATTTATGGACAGACGGAGGGTGTTCCGTAGACAAAAGATTGTGACAAAGTTAGGTAAACTAGGATAACATAAAACAAATGGTTGGCTGAGAAGCCCTCCGGGGATTCTCCGCTGCTGCTGCGGCTACCCCATATATTTAAGATATTCCTTGAAGCTCTGGGCCAGGGACGTGAGGTAATTTGGTCATAACACGGAGCCTTGTTTTATGTTCAAGAGCCACCACAAGCACCACCACCACCACTGCTTCCACCCATCCATCTCCAGTTGCCGTTAACAACAAAAGCAACAGGAGTATGAATCATGATGAGCAGAACTAGGCATCCGTACTCGTGGGGGATATTAAAAGTCGTAGAATGTCATGATTGTTAGCTGGAAATGGGGGGCCGGGGCGGTGTGGATATCCGGGGCTGTATGAATCAGATGGGGGCGAATGTGTAATATTTTCTATTTTGCTGAGGATGGTGACAAGTGGTGTGGTGTGGTGAGCCAAGCCGGGTAGAAATGGAGATTATGAAATGATATAAATGTTATAGAAATTATCAAAAGCGTAGAGGGGTAGGGGAAGGGGTGTTGGGAAAAAGATTAGGAATTTTTGTTGTTTGGTATGAGATAGTTCGTAATAGAGAGTGGAAAAATGCCACATCATATCAAATGGTTGGAATTGAAGGCAAACAAAAAAGGTCGTCGTAACGTGTAGATATGTTAGGGCATAACTTTTTGGAGGAAGATGAAGACAGAGGACAGTGGTGAATAGGGGAAGGGGGATATGACTGTATATTTATGTATATGTATTTAGAAAAGGCAACAGCTTGATAGCACGGGGAGTATCTATGCCAAACAATCAAATGAAAATGGACTTTAAACGAGAAAATATTTTTGGGGGATAGAGGAGGGGATGCAGGACTGAAGTAGCACAGCAACAATTTCGAAAACTAACAATGGATAACCAGCAACTTCGGGTTTTGTTGTTGTTGTTTTTGTTTTCATAGAAAAATTGAAAAACAAAATGAAAATGAAAATATGCGGCCAACATTGTGCATAAGCTAATGGCAACAAGGATAATGTTTGAAATATGTTCCCGTGAAGGATTTACTGTGGCTAGGGAAAGTCAAAAATAAGGTCATTGGTATACAAGGACTTAAGGTCTCGACTGGCTATAGAAGACCCTGAGGTCTTCTACTGGCTATAGAAGATCCTGAGGTCTTCTACTGGCTATAGAAGACCCTGAGGTCTTCTACTGGCTATAGAAGACCCTGAGGTCTTCTACTGGCTATAGAAGACCTTGAGGTCTTCTACAGATCATAGAAGACTTTGAGATCTTCTACTGGCTAAGGAAGACCTTGAGGACTTCTACTGGCTATGGAAGACCTTGAAGTATTCTACTGGCTATAGAAGAACTTGAGGTCTTCGACTGGCTATAGAAGATCTTGCGGTCTTCGACTGGCTATAGAAGATCTTGCGGTCTTCGACTGGCTATAGAAGACCTTGAGGTCTTCTACTGGCTATAGAAGACCTTGATGTCTTTTAGAGGACTTTAAGGTCTTCCATTGTCCATATAGGACCTTGAGGTCTTCTACTGTAAATAGATTACCTTGAGGTCTCCTATGTCCTTATTGCCCATAGAGGACCTTGAGGTCTTCTATTGCCCATAGAAGACCTTGAGGTCTTATATTGCCCATAGAGGATCTTGAGGTCTTCTATTGTCCATAGAGGACCTTGAGGTCTTCTATTGTCCATAGAGGACCTTGAGGTCTTCTATTGTCCATAGATGACCTTGAGGTATTCTATTTCCCATAGAGAACCTTGAGGTATTCTATTGCCCATAGAGAACCTTGAAGTATTCTATTGCCCATAGAGAACCTTGAGGTCTTCTACTGGCTATGGAAGTCCTTGAGGTCTTCTACTGGCTATGGAAGACTTTGAGATCTTCTACTGGCTATAGAAGACCTTGAGGTCTTCTACTGGCTATAGAAGACCTTGAGGTCTTCTACCAGTTACAGAAGACCTTGAGGTCTTCTACTGGCTATAGAAGTCCTTGAGGTCTTCTACTGGCTATAGAAGACCTTGAGGTCTTCGACTGGCTATGGAAGACATTGAGGTCTTCTACTGGTTGCAGAAGACCTTGAGGTCTTCCACTGGCTATAGAAGACCTTGAGTCTTCTACTGGCTATGGAAGACCTTGAGGTCTTCTACTGGTTACAGAAGACCTTGAGGTCTTCTACTGGCTATAGAAGACCTTGAGGTCTTCTACTGGCTATAGAAGACCTTGAGGTCTTCGACTGGCTATGGAAGACATTGAGGTCTTCTACTGGTTGCAGAAGACCTTGAGGTCTTCTACTGGCTATAGAAGACCTTGAGGTCTTCTACTGGCTATAGAAGATCTTGGGGTCTTCGACTGGCTATAGAAGACCTTGAGGTCTTCTACTAGCTATAGAAGATCTTGAGGTCTTCTACTGGCTATAGAAGACCTTGAGGTCTTCCACTCGCTATAGAAGACCTTGAGGTCTTCCACTGGCTATAGAAGACATTGAGGTCTTCAACTGGCTATGGAAGACCTTGAGGTCTTCTTATGGCTATAGAAGACCTTGAGGTCATCTACTGGCTATAGAAGACCTTGAGGTCTTCTATTGCCCATAGAGGACCTTGAGGTCTTCTATTGCCTATAGAGGACTTAAGATCTTCTATTGTCTATAGAAGACCTAGTGCCCATACAGGACCTAGAAGACTTCCATTGCTCTAGAGGTCTTCCATTTCCCATAGAATTCTCGATGGTTTCTATTGTCCATAGAGAACCTTGAGGTCTTCTATTGCCTGTAGAAGACCTTACGGTTTTCCATAGATCCTTGAGGCCAATGGAAGCCGATAACATTTTCTTTTTAGAACCCACTGTGCTTTATTGTCTTATTTTAGCAAAGGTTAGTTTAAAATTAACAACAGTTGTAACGATAGTCAGCTTATCCTGGAGGTGGTTTAATGGAAAATGGGGTGGAAGGTAGGATGCTCATAAATGAGTTTTATGCAAGTCGCCCACGGCAGAGTTTAAGAAAGTAACAACAAAAACAAAGACAACCCTGCCTAACATCATAAGTTACAAGACCAAGATATTTGTACACAAAGCTATGAGTCAAACCGGCAGGGAAGGGAAATTTATGTTTGAATTGATAGCAGATCGGTGGAGGGAAAAATAGATTTTACGGCATGCCGGTTATTCTTAGAAGTAAAGGTTGGGGAAGAACATTTTCCTAGCATTAGAATTTAATGTTGTTTTTGTTGCTGTTCGGTTTTCTTTTTCCTCGTTTTATATCTTTCGTGTTTTTATATGTTTGTCCTTCTTGTTGCTGCAGAGCTAGTGACGCCTTGCTTGTCTGCCACATTGCCATTGAGTCCGTTGTTTATGGCGGCAGAAAATAGAAATGCTTTGCTAAGAAGAATTTGCCATTTTCCTTGTCGTCGGTTCATTTCCATTGTATGTAGCCACATTGTGTTGCATTCTAACCCATCTGAATTTTTTGTTGTTGTTGCTGGACTCACCAAGAATGACTAACGTGGCTGTTCGGAAAGTTGGTTGTCCGACATGGTGAAATTATTTGCCTGGTCATTACGACAAAGTTTTATTTTATGATTGTTTTTTTTTTTGTTGCTTTGCCTTTCTTGTTGTTATTTGGAGAGGAGGCCACAGGGTGGTTGGTGTTCTCCAAATAGAAAGAAGGATATTAAGCAAATATTTGAAAGTACACTGATGTCGAGAAATGAGGTATTTTACCTTTAAAACCCCATTGATGGTCTTCTATTGTACATAGAGGATCTTGAGGTCTTCTATTGTCCATAGAGGACCTTGAGGTCTTCTATTGTCCATAGAGGACCTTGAGGTCTTCTATTGCCCATAGAGGACCTTGAGGACTCCTATTGCCCATAGAGGACCTTGAGGTCTTCTATTGCCCATAGAGGACCTTGAAGTCTTCTATTGCCCATAGAGGACCTTGAGGTCTTCTATTGCCCATAGAGGACCTTGAGGTCTTCTATTGCCCATAGAGGACCTTGAGGTCTTCTATTGCTCATGGAGGACCTTCAGGTCTTCTATTGCCCATAGAGGACCTTGAGGTCTTCTATTGTCCATAAAGGACCTTGAAGTCTTCCATTGTCCTTGAGGTCTTATATTTTCCATAGAGGCCCTCCAGGTCTTCTGTTGTCCACAGAGGACTTTGAGATCCTCTTTTGGGCCTCGTGAACTTCTGTGGTTCAAAGATGACCTTGAGGTCTTTTCTTGT